AACTTTGTATCCAATATGGCGGATCCAAGATGGCGGCCAAAAATGTATACCCAGTCAAAATGAAGTACTTACTTACTTACTGCCGTGGCTCCACAAATCTCGGTTGATTCTTCGCCTCGTGTACCAGCCTCTTCCACCCTTCTCTGTCTTCTGCCAAGTTGACACTTGCACCCACTGTCCTGATGTCGTTCAATACTTGGTCAGTCCATCTCAATTTCGGCCTTCCCAATGGACGTTTACCTCCAGGTGTGGCTCTCCAAACTTCATACAGTCTTGTTCCTTTCTCTCTTCTTAGCACATGCCCTATCCAACTTAACCTTCTTCCTTTAACTATTGCAACAATATCTGGGTCGGTGTATAGTGATCTTAACTCTCTATTTTTCCTTATTCTCCACATCTGTCCCTCCTGTACTGGACCAAATATTTTTTTAAGTACTTTATTTTCAAACACCATGAGTCGGTTTTCAAACACCATCGGTAACAGAAGCCCGGCTAAGCAATATAACGTTGATATAGTAGCAGTAGTGGTAGTAGCAGTAGGGTTGGTATTGATTAATCATTTAATTATTTTAATTTAACCTGAACAGCTTGCTTAGTAATCCAACACGTTAGCTTGGTAGCTTGGATAGCGGAGTACCGGCTATCAGATAATATATTTATCTAGTGTTTGGAACGTATTTAATATTTATTTAACTGCTACTAAGTAGCTCAATATTTTAATAGTGCAATTGCCATTTAGTTTTGCTTGTTTGGCTTGGTATTTATTGAGACCAGCTACTAGTGGTGTAGTCACTCTACTTATAGTGTACTTGTATATTATTATATGGTACGATTATTGAGTGAACTGTTTGATTCTTAGCTTGGGCATTAGAGTTGTGTATTGGATTATAGTGGCCTAGTAGACCCCGCCTGGTGATAACACGCGTTGTGGTTTTTATTGGCAAGTCATCGTGTAACTCACCGTGTTTTAGGCACTCTGGGCTTAACTATTGGATAGTTAGGACGAAGCCCGAGTTGCGTAGTCAGCAACGACCCCCTAGGAGTGTGGAGAATCGGCGTAGGCCTGGTAGTGATTATTGCACGTTTGTTTTGGTAACTTGTTTTTGACTTGTTCACAGTGCCCGTGTATGAGCCAGTCCTATACCGGTTAGACCCGGCTATTGGCCTAGTGGTTTCCCTGACCTTATCGCAGACCCTGGAACTTTACCCAGCCATTGTAGGCTGAGCTATCCCCGGCAAACGGTTGCGACTGCACTTTTAATATTTTTTTTCCAGTGCAGAAAGTAGCGTCGCAAATATGGTTTTAAAATATCAATGAAAATGAATACTAATTAAATAAATTCAGAATGGTATTTAAATTTAATCAATGTACTTTTTCATTAACTCGTAAAAATGAAACAGCAGATATCAACTCCGGACCACATCCAATCATTTTAGAGTAGTAAGTACCTACTTAATTTTTTTTTTTTTTTTTTTTTTTTTTTTATCGGCACTGATAAGCCGGGTCAAAGGGCGCTCGCTAGCTTCGCCGCCGCCGCTAGCTCACCAAATAGCAAAAATATACCCCCCTAGGGAAAATAGCTCGTTACATATTAAAAAAATAGCTGTTACCAATGGGCTTCAACCCGTTTGACTTCATAAGTATTAATAAAACTATTGATTGGTTAAGTTAAGCTGAAATAAAAATAGGGATGGTCAAGTCTCAAAATTTCGGGAAATTTTCGGGAAATTTTAAATCTTGTTACACGAGACGAGATTTCTTTTTGGCCGAGATTTTTATCAAGACGAGAATAAAAAAAAAAAAAATTAAAAACGCCTGCAGAAAGTCAATGCAATACCCGCAATACAGGAGCGTGTTGTAGTTGCGTTTCCTTTGCGAAGGCGTTCTTATTTAATTAATTCTTTAAATGTAAATATTACTTTAATAACATTTGAGAAGTTTTGTTAAGTGTAAGCAGTGTGAGGAATGTTTTATTACTATAAAAAGTCAAAACAAGTAACTATTTTATAAAAATTAATATTGCTTTTATTTTATGATTTATTTTATTTTAAGACAAGTTGAACTCTATCCTAACTGATATCACTATGTTTCCTAATCGTAGGCATTTTTAATAAGTTAGGCGTGATTAATAAAAAAATGTTATTCTGATGTTTTTTAATAAAAGATTGTAAATATTCTTGCCTATTATCATTATTTTTGTATTTAAACAGTCATCTAACAATGTTACAAAATCAGGTAAAAATTTTGAGCGTGCATTTCCCGTTGTGTATGAGAAGGGAAATCCCATCTCGATCTCGTCTCGAAATTTTATGAGAAATAAAAAATCTCGTCTCGTCTCGTCTCGAACTAAAAATCCAATCTCGACCATCCCTAAATAAAAAAAAAAAAACGGAATGCAGCATTACAAACAAATAATCACACCAGATTTTAATCTATTCTATATCTTCTATTCTATACAGGGTGACAAAAAAGTCTGGAAACGGCTTAATATCTTTTTAACTAAATCCGTTAGAAAAGTCAAACTTTTAACATCAACTTACATGTATAAAAACTACTTTTTCCAAGCATTTTCATGTTTTTACCTCCACCAGGGAACGACCCGTAAGGAGTAGGTACAAAATCTTTAATGTAAGCATAGGTTGATATGCACACCATTTTAAAGGTCTGGTCAAGTGGAGTTCATTGCCAGAAACCACATCTCAAAAGGTTCATTCGTTACAAAATGGCGGCATTTCAAAGTTCTTGTGGAATATACCTTTACAGGCCTTAATATTGGTAAATACTCGTATTAAACATTATCTTGAGAGCTGAAATTGTATTTTAAAGTCAACTAGCCCATAGACTAAGTTTATTCAATCTTCAAAACAAATTTAAACGGGTTTCAGATTTCCCGGCTAATTTTGACTATGAGTATTTACCATTACTAAGGCCTGTGCAGGTATATTCCGCAAGAACTTTGAAATGCCGCCATTTTGTAACGAATGAACCTTTTTTGACGCGGTTTCCGGCAATAAACTCCACTTGACCAGAACTTTAAAATGATGTGCATATCAACCTATGCTTACATTAAAGATTATGTACCTACTCCTCGTGGGCCGTCCCCTGGTGAAGGTAAAAAAATGGTAATACTTGCAAAAAGTAGTTTTCATACATATAAGTTGATGTGAAAGGTTTGAATTTTCTAACGAATTTAGTTAAAAAGATATCTAGCCGTTTCCAGACTTTTTTGTCACCCTGTATATAATTCAGTTTTAAAAATCTTTGAACAACTAAATCTAGAGTTCTACTGGACCGATTTTATTAATTAATGGGTCGTTGGAAAGCTTAATTCGTGTAGATTTGCAAATAATGATAAAAGTTTGTGTTTAATATGATTTATGGTGAAAAATTTAAAAAAAACATGTTTTCCATAAGAAATACATTGAAAACGGTGTTTTTCACACTTTTTATTTAAGTGAGACTTTTTGCGGCCTTTTTTGTGTTTCCAAGAAGTGTATGGTATCAATTTGTAGGAAATTTTATTCTCTTTCAGAATATCACCTTCCACTTTAGTAGATTTCCTCACCATTTTAAAGTTATTTGCAAAAAGCTAAGCGACCTCCAAATTTATAGTAATGAGAAAATACTGAGTTTGGGATATATTTGTTAAACTTTGTACAACTAAATCTAGACTTCTACCGAACCGATTTTGTTACTTAATGGGTGGTTGGAAAGCCTAATTTGTGTAGATTTGAAAATAATTATGAAAGTTTGATTTTATTTGATATTTGAGGTGAAAAAATAAAAATAAACAATAGGTTAATACATTTACAATTTTTTCCTTAAGTTTATAATTCCAAGTTTAAATTTGTAGCCAACTTTAGGCTGCCTTTATTGAGTATTTTCAAGAAATGCTTAGTAGTAATTTGTAGGAAATTTTATTCTCTTTCAGAATATCACCTTCCACTTTGGTCGATTTCCTGACGGTTTCAAAGTTATTTGCAAAAACGTTAAGCAACCTCCCAATTTATGGTGGTGAGAAAATAATGAAATAAAGATGTTGTTGTTAAACTTTGTACAATTTAATCTACAGTTTTACTGAACCGAATTTATTAATTAATAGGTCATTTGAAAGCCTAATTTGTGTATATTTGCAAATAATTATAAAAGTTTGATTTTTTTTAAAGATTTACTAGGTGAAACCCGTCAAAGTCGACAGTTACTGTTGAGGTTGCAAGCAAGGATCGTTTGACTATAAATCGATGATAAATAACTCCATTTTTTGAACAATTTGTGTTGTTCGTGATTTAGCTGTGTGCTTTAGGTACGTCCGATCTTAGCAATCAATTAATCAAATGGTAGCTGGTATTTCACTGAAGGTTCTTAGGTCAAAACAAATAGAATAACGTAATTAGAATTAAGTAAATATATCTAAAACTAAATTTCATATCCAAGATATAATCAAATTTATATTTTCTGATTGAGCGATACAGTATCTTGAGCTTTACTGATTAAAACTATCAATATCTCAAGTAAAAGCCTGAGCCTGAAATTTATTTAATCATGGTTCGAGTTGGCGGGAGGCCGCTACGCTGGATTCGGCTGTTAGCGCTGCAAAACAACTTGTGGCGCTCCAAGCGGAATCTCGGTAAACTAATCTCGGCGCCGTCCCCTTTTGACCCATAAGGTTTCGCTTCTTATAGTGGTTTGTATTCATTGGCCTAGGCAACAAGTGTGAGTCAGTATCACAACCCACCCTAGTAAAATCTCTGGGAGGAGTACCTCTAGCATTAATCCCCTCTGGTAGCAGTCACAGCTTTGCCAAGTCTGAGACTCTTTGTTTGCAGATGGTCAGCTGTTTGCATGGGGATGTAATGACAGTGGACAGCTGGGCCTAGGCAACAAGTGTGAGTCAGTATCACAACCCACCCTAGTCAAATCTCTGGGAGGAGTACCTCTAGCATTAATTCCCTCTGGTAGCAGTCACAGCTTTGCCAAGTCTGAGACTCTTTGTTTGCAGATGGTCAGCTGTTTGCATGGGGATGTAATGACAGTGGACAGCTGGGCCTAGGCAACAAGTGTGAGTCAGTATCACAACCCACCCTAGTCAAATCTCTGGGAGGAGTACCTCTAGCATTCATCTCCTCTGGTGGCAGTCACAGTTTTGCTGTCTCCAAATCAGGTTGATCTATGTGGACAGTATTATATTAAAAGACCAGTATGTTTACAACATCTTGACTCTGAGTTTTAGATTTAAGGTTGGATTTTGACATATTAGAGTTTGCTAGCTGTTAGAGGATCAAAATTTATTGATACCATAATCATTAGAATCGCAGAAGATTCTTTCTCATCCATACACCTCCGTACAGTATATTTTTCCAAACTAAACTTTATTTGAATAAATATAAGATGTTCATGTAAAATGCCTTGAACATGATACAAAACCATGAGTTGTGAGGCAAAATAAAGTAGTCAAGTGCTCATCTCTACTCATGTAAAATACACCTATGATATGCAATGTAAACTATTGCGGGTAAATTATCAGTTGTCCAAACCACCTAAAAAATTCTGATGAAAATTTGATTGGAAAAGTTGTTATTTATATCTAGGCTACTACCAAAATCAATATAATCAATGATTTCAATATTGTAAATTTTGTCGTTGTTAAAATACTACTTTAAATATATTAAATGTTTTCCAACATTTTATCGCTTATTTTCACACTTTGTGTTTGTGTAGGTGCTGTCTTTGGGTGGGGTAAGAACAACAGTGGACAGTTGGGGCTCAATAATGAAGTTGACTCGTTTTTCCCTGCTCAACTGAAAACACTTCGCTCAATTAGAGTCAAGTACATAGCGTGTGGGGAAGACTTCTCAGTTTTTCTCACACAGGTATCTGGTTCAATTTACATTTGATAAATGATCAGAATTGACAGTTGTTGTATTTTCAACATATTTATAAAGGTTGACATTTATGCAATTTCAGAATAAATTGACTTACAATTTAGCGTTAAAAAATTACATCTCTTAAGGTGGTCGCCTTCTGCTTGGATACAGTGTTGAAGGCATTCCCTAAAACTTGCTACGGATTTTGCTAAAATTATTATCTCTAGGAATAGCGTTGATTTCATGGTGAATTGCTTCTTTTAAGTTCCTGTATTGTTTGTGGTTTGTTCATGAAAACTCTAGATTTAAAAAATATCCATAGAAAGAAATCTAGAATTGTAAGATCCAGTGAGCGAGGAGGCCAAGTGAAATCACCAAATGTTAGATCACTCTTGTAGGGAATATTCACCGAAAGAATTCCATACTAATGTATGGGCTGTTATCCATCTTGTTGGAACCATACATTACGTATCTATACGTTGACGGCACAGTTCTGACAAAAAAAAATATTCTTCCAACATTTCCAGGTACCGTTGTGCATTCACTGTCACTGCTCTGCCGTCGTTGTCTAAAAAAAAAAAAAATAAGGACCAATGAACCTCTTTTCACTAACCGCACACCACAGTCACACGTAAGCTATAAAGAGGTCTCTCAGCTACGTATTGAGGATTTTTTGCCCACGAAAATCGTAAATTCTGTTTGTTGACTGCTTCGTCCAAGTGAAAATGGGCTTCATCACTCATAAGGATCATTTTCTTCTAAAATTTCCCTGTGTAACAAAATTTACACGTTGTCTCATATCTGCTTGACTAAATTGATGACATACTGCCAGCTTGAAAGAATGAAATTTAAGATCTTTCTCACAGTGGATGGGCGAAGTCCAAGAGCAGATGTCCGCTTCCGAATTGAGCGGCTAGGACTCTGAACTGTTGCAAGGCGCACTCTTTCAACTGGCTCAGGAGTACTAACTGTCTTTGCCGGTTCAGGACGTTTCTTCTTAATCAAAGATCCAATTGTGTTAACATTACGTATCCAACACAATATCATGTTACAATCAGGGATAGCACCATGCCGTGCAATGTGCACGAAAGTCTCGCTGAGTCTGAGTGACTGATTCACCATTTGCATAATACTGTCGCATGACAAACGTACGATGTGTGATGATGTGGTGTAGTATGAGTGTAAACGAAGATACCTGGGCCCTATATATCTTCCTCTAACCACTGCCAAATCACGCACATTTCCTGTCGTAACCCAACTCTATTGCAAGGAATTGATTTAACTCGTCAAAGTGCACAATATTACCTTAGCTGCCTATCACAGCCAGCTTTTATGTTCTTAATGTATCTAATTATAATATAATGATCAGAGAAATATATATATATGGACTTATTCTAATTTGTGAAAAAGGTAACTAGATTTAGCAAATGTGAATTCTAATTTGTGATATTAATTGCCAGACCACGACCATTCTAGAACCCAATAAATTACATAATTTAATTACTACCTACCCTAGCCTACACCCTTCCCCAACCCCTACGAAACTATCTAGACATATTCTAATTTAAGGTACTTATCCGGACTAAGACGTGTTGATGGCGGAGACGGAGACACTACGACTACTCTCCTGGCTCGCTGCGCGTGCCTTCCCGGGCCGACTGCGCGCGCATCGTCGTCACGTGACTTGCGCTATTGTAGCGATCCGCTACAGATGCCCAAGGTTCCACATCTCGGCTAGAACTGAAACTGCACACTTACCTCTCCACAGCGAAACAACTTCTGGCCGTAGCCGAACGATATTCCTTGTATACTATGCAAGTCAAAAACATGCGTTTCCCAGTAATCACCCTGTATGAAGGGATTAAGGAAATAAAACTTAAGTTAGGCCTATTTGTACAAACAACTATTTGAAAACCAAACACATTCAAATCAAAACAATATTTGCCATACCAGAAGTGTTAAATATAGGCCTATTTGTTGAAATGATTCACTGTTAAACCAATAAATTTAACATAGGCTACTAACCTTGGAAAGAAAAGGGCTCTGGAAATTTGTTAAACTAAGTTAACTGTCTGTTAAATTCTAGCTAAATATTTAGAAGGTAGTAATTTTGAGTCATTTTGTACCTATAACCTGCATCAAGTTAATTTTAGGCTCCATTATTAAGGGAAATTTAGAACAATAGTATTTATGGAAAGGACGTTTTGAACAAAACTTTTTAGAAAATAGGCCTAAGTACATGTTCATTTTAGGTTACAGTTTAAGATGCAGGCTTGTTGAAAAAAAGATTTGTCAAAGGCTTAGTTCTGTGACTGTGATGGTTTTTTTGTAGGCCTAGTGCATGTACCGGTATTGTGGGTTTAGGTTAAAAGTGCTTTTAGACCCCCCACCTCTAGAGATAAGCCTATTAAATATATATTTTATGTTTTATTTCGCAAACCTGTTGTTTTAGTGAATTTCCCAATAGGGAAGTAGCTATTTCCGTAGGTCACATGGTAAGACCTAGGCCCGGGACCGATTTACTTTTTCATTTTGATGTCCCCAGAGGCCTAAAACACCATTAATTCAAATTTATATATATATATATATATATTAGGGATGGACGGGATTGAATTTTTAGTTCGGGACGGGACGGGACGGGATTTTTTCTGTGCATAAAAAGAAAGTCTTGAGTATTGCAGTTACCAAAAAAGGCATACAAAATCAATCTTTACCGTTTGTGGTCACGTCGGTATGACTCCGCGGTCACGGGGTGATCGTCGGTATGACTCGCGGTCACGGCATGATCATCGGTATGACTCACGGTCACGGCGCGATCGTCGGTATGACTCCGTGGTCACGTCGGTATGACTCCGCGGTCACGGGGTGATCGTCGGTATGACTCGCGGTCACTGCGCGATCGTCGGTATGACTCAGTGGTCACGGCGTGATTGTTGTTATGACTCCGCGGTCACGGGGTGATCGTCGGTATGACTCGCAGTCACGGCGCGATCGTCAGTATGACTCACGGTCATGCCATGATCGTCGGTATGACTCACGGCCATGCCATGATCGTCGGTATGACTCACGGTCACATCGTAATCGTCGGTATGACTCCGTGGTCACGGGGTGATCGTCGTTATGACTCGCGGTCACTGCGCGATCGTCGGCATGACTCCGTGGTCACGGCGTGATTGTCGTTATGACTCCGCGGTCACGGCGCAATCTTCGGTCCAATAATCGCGGTCATGGCGCGATCGTCGTTATGACACGGCGGTCACGGCGTGATTGTCGGTATGGCTTCGCGGTCGTGGCGCGATCGTCCGTCCAATAATTGCGGTCACGGCGCGATCGTGGTTATGACTCCGCGGTCACGGCGCGATCGTGGTTATGACTCCGCGGTCACGGCGTGATTGTCGGTATGGCTCCGCAGTCACGGCGTGATCGTCGTAATGACTCCGCGGTCACGGCGTGATTGTCGGTATGACTCACGGTCATGCCATGATCGTCGGTATGACTCACGGCCATGCCATGATCGTCGGTATGACTCACGGTCACATCGTAATCGTCGGTATGACTCCGTGGTCACGGGGTGATCATCGGTATGACTCGCGGTCACGGGGTGATCGTCGGTATGACTCGCGGTCACTGCGCGATCGTCGGCATGACTCCGTGGTCACGGCGTGATTGTCGTTATGACTCCGCGGTCACGGCGCAATCGTCGGTCCAATAATCACGGTCATGGCGCGATCGTCGTTATGACTCGGCGGTCACGGTGTGATTGTCGGTATGGCTTCGCGGTCGTGGCGCGATCGTCCGTCCAATAATTGCGGTCACGGCGCGATCGTGGTTATGACTCCGCGGTCACGGCGTGATTGTCGGTATGGCTCCGCAGTCACGGCGTGATCGTCGTAATGACTCCGCGGTCACGGCGTGATTGTCGGTATGACTCTGCGGTCACGGCACGATCGCTCGTAATAGTGGCGTCACCGGCACTCGCGAAGCGGCAAAATCGCCGGCGATCAAACCAAATCCCGTCCCGAAAAATTCCCGAATCAAATGTAATCCCGTCCCGATAATCGGGAATATTTTTTTCCCGAAAAATTCCCGAAATTTCGGGACCCGTCCATCCCTAATTATGTATGTTGTCCGGAGGGAGTAATTTGAAGCTCCTCGTAAACGGACAGTTAGACGCAAAAGGCAATTTCAGCCTTTAGCGTGTTCATAGTATAGTAATAAAACACAAAATTATATCAGGCGAAGCCGAAGGGCAACAGCTAGTATATTCATAACCTTCTTAGGTGAATATTTTGTTGTGTTTTAAGTAGTCCTGAATACAGTAGAATCTCACTAATTTGAACCTCGATAATTCGAAAACCTCTATAATTAGTAATGTTTCTCGTTACTCTCAGAAAACCTCTAGAATTTCAAAAATAATATACCGATGTTTCATAGTGATTTTTTCTATTATTGCAGCCTCTACAATTTGAATTTGTACATACTTGAGCCTCTACAATTCAAATTATGTTGCCATGATTTGAATTGTTACCTCCAAAATTCAAAGTCAACCTCTAAAATTCAAACTGTGTCACCGTAAGCCTCCGTAATTGGAATTTAGAACAAAAAATATGCCTGTTGAAACATGAACTGATGCTCTTATTGATGTTCCACGATGTGTTCATTAGTCACCATTCTCTCAAACTTTCTACACTTAAAACTGGGACCTCCATAATTCAAATTTTATTTATTCTGACCTCTATAATTCGAACTCTCTATATTTCAAACTTCCTATAGTTTGAAATATATTGTCTTTCCTCTGAACTTTGAATAAGCGAGGTTCTACTGTATTAATAATATTTTAGGTTTTGATTAGTGAGCAATAGTAGATGTTGTTGTACAGGATGGAGGAGTGTTTACCTGTGGTGCAGGGCAGTATGGCCAACTTGGCCATGGCTCCACCAGCAATGAGATCCTACCTCGTAAGGTATTGGAGCTTATGGGTACTACAGTCACACAAATCAGCTGTGGCAGGTCAGTAGGCTTCCTGTAATTGCTATTTCACTCTAGTCTTGTTGATAATTGTTGAATGCTGCTTTTTTATCTCAGCTTGGAAAAAGTAAATTGTAGGGGTGTGCTATGCATCGAAATTACGATTCGATTCAGTGGTGGTCATAAAACAATTTGGTTCATGGGGGAAATAGTATAGTATCCATACAAAAAACACCTGCAGAAAGTCAATGCAATACCTGTAATACAGGAGCGCGTTGTTGTTGCGTTTCCTTTGTGAAGACGTTCTTATTTAATTTATTCTTTGCATGTAAATGTTGCTTTAATTGTTTTATAATTTTTTGTTTTGACATTGCAAATGATGAGAAGTTTTGTTAGTGTAAGCAGTGTGGGACATGTTTTACTACTGTAAACATGTAGCCAAAACAAGTCACTCCATATCATCCTAAAAATAAGTCTGAAAAATTGTTACTTTATACTTAATTAACTAAATTTGGTATTTTTGTAGGTCTGAAGCTATGTAGCCTATACCTTGTAGTTTGTACGTCTGATTCTATCCTCTCATTTTATCAATTGAAAGTTTCAGTATAAATCTAAAAATCTTACAAATGTTTTTATTTGTTTACACCAAAACATATATTTATTTGTGAAATCAATATTATGCAATAGGTAACATGCTTAACAATACGATTCTGCAAGTAAAAATTATGAAATACCGTAGGCAAGAAAAGCAGCTCACTGATATTTCCAGCTTCTAATATATGATTGAAAATAAATATTTTTTCACTTACAAAAATTCATATGTCATATGCATGAATAGGCCTAATAACACATCAGTAAAAATTTGCATTACACAAATGTGGTAAATTTTAATTATTGTTATTTTACTCCATTCACAAGTATGAATCTAAAAAATGCCGTATTGCTTAAAATCAGAATTTTTTTGCTGCTTCGCACACCCCTAGTTAATTGTAAGTAATTCAAGAGAATATTGTGTGAGTAGGCCATATGCATTAAGGAAAAAATCTTCTTAAGTTGAATTGAAATAGTAGGGTAACTGAGCATACATTACCTTATAGTCCGAGGTTGCTAGTTTGATCCTGAGAAAAAAATTCAAGCACCTTTTGATTGTTTGAAATTGAGCCCGACTCTTCCTGATCATGGACCCATACCACCGAGTTTCAGAAGGCTTTGGTGATTAGCTTTCTCATAATTCATTTTCACCCCTCATTTCATCTTTGTTTTAAATATCTACTGTCACTTTGTATCACGGTAGAATTAACAAAAATAATTGTTGCAGGAGACACACACTGGCGCTAGTACCATCACGAGGGCGCATCTATGCGTTTGGCCTCGGTTGTGCCGGACAGCTCGGCACCAAAGCCCAACTCAGCTCTACCACACCACAGGTGGTGGTCGGTCCATGGCTCTCTCCCTCCGGCATCTCCATAGTGGAGAACAACAACATCTCTGACTATGTAGTCAAGCGAATATACGCCGGTGGTGACCAGTGTTTTGTCACCGTCACTCGGCAAAAGGTAGCCTTCTTTTTGTATACATAAATTATATTCTCTGTGGTGACATGCTCACAAGGTTTTTGAGAGTTTCAAATTATCTTTATTTACTAGTGATGGGCCGATTCCTGAATTGGTCGATTCCGATACCGATTCCAATTCTAAAACTTGGGTTTCAATTCTCGATTCCGCACACTCGATACCGATACCTGACACATATAACTTGTGTGTGCTTCTCGCTATCTTTATGAATAAAGGAGCTTATTATTATTTTTATTTAATCTTTATACAGTAAGATAACTGCATTTCTATTGATTAAGGTTATTAGGTTAGCCTATAAGGAAAATAAGATAGGCTACTTCAAGAAGACATGCTTTTTAACATATTTTATTAAATTAAATCTAGACAACAATTACCGGTTTAGGTAGGCCTAAAATGTTCACTGAGTTTCTTGTTTGCATAAGAATTCGTACATCTAGGCATGCAACGAATGTTCCATATTGCTTGAGTTATAAACCAAAGTCATCTTCAATATTGTCATCATCAATATCACTTAAAACTAGAGGTGTGCAGATATCCGAAAAATCGGGTCGGATTCGGTTCGGTTCGGATATCCGTATCCGAACCGAGCCTAAATTTGATATCCGACACTATCCGTTATATATCCGACTTTTTCGGATAGACAACATATTTTGACGTTTTGGACAGAAAACTAAATCATAACCATCATTAGTTTCCCAGTACAAAAATTACAGCAATAGGTTTCCAACGACGACGTAACAGCAAAGGACAAAGGAGCCGTATGATGCAATACCGATGTCTAGTTTAGTCGTTATCGGCTGTTTTGCTTTACGAATAGATTAGTCTGGAACGAACAGACATAAAGCAGAAATGAACTACCAGGGTCAACTCGTGGTTGTCTCCTGATGCGAGGGGCGCTATGCGTAATAGTTTTTTTTTTTACAGTACTGTTTTAAAGTATACAAATCTAGCCTACTTCTGTGCTGTTACGTAAACAATAGATTTAGGTTGGCACTACTGTTGCCGTAGACGATAGAAGTGGTTTCACACTGTCTCCAGTTTTAATATGCTTTTATCCGAGTTAATGGTTAAACATTTTCTTATCAGTAGTGATAACCATAGTTCAGAACAAGTATTATCAGTTTAAGTTATATTTCCAGCAAGGAACTAGTTATAAACATTATTATCCGAACAACAGTTTCGAGGCCGAGTCAACGTGGTCGTGTCGTGCCGGAGCAAACGGGTTAGTCTAGTGCAATAGTGTATAACGGTGATCGAACAGCGACCGATGTTTTGTGTTTTTATTACAAGACGTTAAAATTGTGAAAGTGTTCTTAATGAGCTGTTCAAAAATTGAAGACTATTTCACACCTGCAGCGCCGAGGGGAAGTAAACGTCACCAAAAATACACGTCACCTGAAAGCCCGGTCGGCAGCGTGGATAACCTCAACATGGGTGCGGAGAAGGTCGGGGACATGCCGCTCGAGCAGCTAATGAAAGGTTTGAGTGATCTGTTGGATAGAAAATTGGACCAAAAACTAGGGAATTTAGCTACTAAAGATGACCTGTGTAGTATAAACAATAAGGTGCAGGAACTGGTAATTGAGAATGAATCGCTAAGGGATCAAATCTGTGAGCTTAGGCGTCAGGGAAAATTTGTGCATGACAAACTTATTGACTTAGAAGGGAGGTCTAGAAGGAATAATTTAATATTCAAAGGCCTTAAGTTTAGTGGGAAACGTCCAGATTGTAAACAAATTATAAAAAACTTTTGCCGAGAAGTGTTGGGCATCGATAAATTGTGGGTTAATAGGGCTCATACAATTGGGAGAGAGGGAAACTCTATTATTGCTCACATTCCGGAGGACGCGGATATAGACTACATATTGACCCAGGCTAGGACTTTGAAAGGAACTAACTATATCATACATAAAGACTTTCCGCAAGAAATAAGGGTTAAACGGTCGCGTTTAGTGGCAGTACGAGCAGAAATAGACAAGTTAGTTGGAGGACTTAAGATGCCACTTGTCCATGATCACCTGTACGTGAAGGGCACGCGTTTTACCTGGGAAGACAACACACTGAAAGCTGGACGAGTTGAAGGAGCCCGAGAACTGATGAAACTATTCCGACATGACTTCTCGGACTTCCTCACCAAACTGTCTCGACGGGGCACGGAGAAGGACGACGACGAAGAGGAGCCACAACGGATGACGTCTCAAACATATGCGGAGGCTGCAGCCATGGACACGGGCGCGGGACCTAGAGAGACATTGCCGGGGGCACCTGAGGCGGCGCAGACCACGACTCCTCAGCAGGTCGTCGTGTGAGGGGACTACGCCAAACCTTCTGAGAACCAACAGCAGGACGGAGACAGCGCTGTGCAAGTAATGGGACATGGTATAGGAACCTTTAAGGTACTTTCATATAATATATGTGGGCTGAAAAATAGAATTATTGATGACAGTTTAGTTGATTTTTTATGTAAATATGATTTATTTTTCCTAACAGAAACATTTTTAGTTAAATCAGACGAATTTTTTATTAGAGACAAATTAAAATCTTTAAGTTGTGTATTAAATTTGCTGAAAGGATAGGTAATGTTGGCAGATATAGCGGAGGTGATATTATTGGGTTAAACTTGAATTCACCTTTCCAGAAAAGTTTTACTTTTGTTAATGAACATGAACTAAGTTATGTAAAGGCGAGTTTCAATGGTGTTCAAAAATCCCTAAATTTCATACCTTTATATTTGAATTACAATAAGTGGGAACAGAGTTTTAGTGATATTGTTGAATATTTGAAATAGTAATGAAATTGGGAATTTAATATTTTTTGGAGATCTGAATGGACGAATAGGTGATGAACAGGGTTTTGAAAAGGGTGAAATAAAAAATGTAAATAGTTATTTAGATAGTGGTAGGAAGTCAAAAGACAAAACCATAAACAGAAGGGGGAATAAGCTATTAGAATTGTTTGACAATAGAGGATTAATCGTTGTAAATGGAAGGTCAGCTAGTGATAAGGAGGGTGAGTTTACTTTTATAGGGGCGATGGGCTCGTCTGTTATAGATTTGGCAACTGTGTCATTGGATTCCTTGCATTTAGTGAAGGACTTTAGAGTAGTGCCATATCCAGGGTCCGATCACCTACCGATCGAAATTATTCTGTCAGTTGATGAAATAAATAGTAACATAGGGGAGAGGAGAGAGGTTAATACGTCAACTTTGTTACCAAAATTAAAGTGGTCGGATGAGGACCAATCGAAATACAAAAGTCGGGTATTACTTAATTTGACCAACGTTCAGATAGGAAATGATAATCAGGATAATATAGACAATTTGACCAAGTGCATTGTTAGATCGGCAAAACATAAAACTCATACAGCGGTAAAAAACAGGTTTGTAAACAAGCAAAAGTGGTTTGATTTTGAGTGTTTAGCCGAGAGGAAAAAGATGTTTAGATTGCTTAGTCTTTTTAGAAAAACTGATTCGAACTTGGTTAAAAGTAACTATCTTACTCAAGTAAATATATACAAAAAATTGTGTAAGTTAAAAAAGAAGTTATATAACGACAAAATTATTTCAGATTTGAACAATAATAATACAGATAGTAAAGCTATGTGGCAAGCAATTTTAAATTTTAAGAGAAAGTGCAGTAACGCAGTAGGAAATATAACGACGAACAAATGGATAGAGCATTATAGCGCCTTGCTTAACCCCCCGCTTGTGGCAGGTGAGATGAGCTATGCAGAACCTTTCATAGATAACGACCGATTAGACAGCGATTTCACCTTGGTAGAGATAAAGGATGTATTGGCCGTGGTCAAGGCAGATAAGGCCCCAGGAGTTGATAGAATTCCTTACGAGTTTTACAAAAACGCACCTGATCATTTTCTAAACACATTATTATCAGTCTATAATAACATTTTCAAAAGCAATAAAATCCCTAAAAGTTTTAAGGAGTCCATAATTTATCCATTACACAAAAAAGGCAATATAGATTTAGTGGAGAACTACAGAGGTTTATCTTTTATAAATTGTGTAGCTAAATTATTTACCAGTATGTTAACGAATCGATTACAAAATTGGATCAATGATAACAATATTCTAACAGAGTTTCAAGCAGGTTTTCGGAAGGGTTACTCGACAATTGATAATATATTTAACCTAAGTTGTATGGTCAAGCTAAGGCTTGCGCAGAAACAGGGTAAACTTTACTGTTTTTTTGTTGATTTTAGTTCTGCGTTTGATACAATTGACCGCAAGGCATTGTTCTACAAACTGTCAACGCTTGGAGTATCTACGCGCGTGATTAATAATATTAGGAGTTACTATGACGAGACTTTTGCTAGTGTGTGGTGCAAGGAGGGAGTTACAAACAGTTTTATTACAAGGACAGGTCTGAGGCAAGGATGTAATCTCTCACCTACCCTTTTTAGCCTATTTTTAAATGATTTGCCAGAAGCGTTAGGAGGAGGGTGTAGCTTTAGCGGGGAAAAAGTAAATTTATTAATGTATGCCGACGACATTATACTCCTCTCGCCGACGGGAACTGTCCTTCAACATATGATAAACAAATTAGAGGCTTGTAATACATGGAACCTAAACGTTAATTTAAAAAAATCTAAAATTATGATATTTAGGAATGGTGGAAAGTTAAAAAAAGAGGACAAGTGGTGGTACAAGGGTAAAACGATTGAAGTAGTAAATCAGTACAAATATTTAGGTATCACACTATCATGGACCTTACACTTCAAAGAAAAGTGTAAAATGGGTAAATTTGCTCTAAATTCAATTTGGGACAGGTTGATTTCTAATAGAAATGTACCAATTACTTCCAAAAAAGGTTGCTTTGAGTCGATAGTTAAGGCTATAATTTGTTACGGGGCACAAGTGTGGGGTTTTATAGATAGTGAAATTGTCGAGTCAGTCCAAAAACTGTTTATAAAAAGATTGTTCAGATTGCCTTCTAACACTCCTAATTACATACTATATATAGAG